ATTCAGGACTGATAAAGTACGGCTTTGGAATATACAAAGTGCAGCGTTCATAATTCACAAAATACCGTATCCATCATTTTTAAACTACGGCGTCCAAATTTACAAAATACGGTGTCCTTCACCCATGTTATCAAACCCTAGTCCTCTCTTTTAATGGCAAGACGCACTCCAGACCTCCTCGTATTGTTTGGTTCTTGCTGGGCAACAGCAACGAGCGAGCACAGTCATCGCTCTTTATTGGCAAACGTGGAGAAATTTGTATATTGTAACTTTTGTAATTGAAGCATTTTGTACTGTATATTGTATGTGTTACTAACTTAACTTGGGTCTTGCCAATTTAGCTCCAGTGGTGCAAATGCTTTGTTTTCATGGTGCATTTGCTTGGGTTTTAATTTTGCAACAGTGCATTCTTTGGTTCCGAGACTGAATTCTCCATGTCGTCAGACGCTCTGGCCTGGGGGGGTTCTGTTGGCCCTTAGACGCTGAGTCATCATCCTAAACGGATGAGGTTCATCATCCTAAACGGATGAGGTTCATCATCCTAAACGGATGAGGTCAGTCGGCCCTGCATCTATGCGGCTGCTTTCTCCCTTGGGCGTGTGAGCGCTGCGACCTATAGATTTCCTTTCGAGTTCCATCGGTGTGTTTGCTTGGGTATTAATTTTGCAACAGTGCATTCTTTGGTTCCGGGTTTGAATTCTCCATGTCGTCAGACGCTTTGGCCCGGGGGGGGTTCTTAGACGCTGGGTTGCATCGTTCTTTGAGAATGAGGTAAGACGACCTTGGATTTATGCGGCTGCGTTCTCCCTTGGGCGTGTGAGCGCTGCGACCAATAGATTTCGTCCCGAGTTCCATCGGTGTGCTTGCTTGGGTTTTCATTTTGCAACATTCTCAATTTTTGGTGCAATTTCTTCCGGTGGTGTATTGGGTACTAACTTTGCATTTGTATTGTATCTGAATTGTATCTGTATCTGTATCTGTAGTGTATTCTGTATTGTAGCTAGATTGTAGGTACCTGTATTGTATTTCCGTTGTATTGTACTGTATAACGTTCTATCCCTCATTAACAATTCCTAGCCCTCTCCTTTCCTAGCGAGATCTGCTCCAGACCTTCCCGTGGTTCTTGCTGAGCATCAACTATCGAGGACAGAAAATTCAAATTCAAAACCAGCAAAGTTACACAAAAATCATGAAAATCGCTCGTTGATGGCCAACGTGGAGCAAAAGAGACTTTCGTAACTCAATTAACTTTGTTAACTCTATATTCTTAAGGAAAAAAAAATATATTACCTTTAATTTATCATTTATAAGGAAGGACAAATAGTCATTTGCCACGCCGATGCTCATTTTTAGATTAAATGCTCACAAAACGCGTAAATGTTCAATTTGTGTCCGGGGAGATACAATGTTTGCAAGTAGATACACAGTACATCGGGTAGATGCTCAGGTATATAAGAGTAATAATGAAGTAGGTACTTCGTACTTCGAATATGAGTATCTACTCAGTTTTATTCATACTGTCCAATGTTTCGCTTCAATGTTTGATTATGATGTTGATTATGAGCATAACGCTGATCAACTTCCGTATCCGAATTACCCTTGAAATAAATCATCGCGATTTGCACCTTAGGTAGTTCGTCGCACATTTGATTGACTTCGTGGACTTATGTCAGCTTGTCGTCTTCTCGGCATTGTAATGAACTTCATAAAACGACACAGAATTATTTTCACAGTCAATCAAATCTGTAAATTTTGTCTTGAGAATTTTAAAATATTGAAAACTTCAAATTAAATCCTTGAATAACGGTAAAGTTTGAAGTTTTGTCGAAACCAACAAAGTGAACATAGGTAAATAAAATGCCAGATCAAAATTAATAAATAAGACACTTTCGCAATGTGTAACTAAATTCACTTTAACTAAGACTTTTCTTAAAATAAACGACGTTTTTTTTACGAAAAAACAAACAACGATTTGAAATGCAATAATACTTTTTTCACAATCGCACGGAAGGAATAGTTTTGTATGACACGTCAGTTAGGCGACAGGTCCGTCAGGAACGCCAACTATTCAAATTCATTCGAAGTGGCGATTCCCATGCAAAACTTTTAAATTTTTTTAATCTTTTAGCCGTCTTATTTTTTATAATTTTTTTTACATATAAACCTTGTCCTGACAATAAGGTACACGTAAAAAAAAGAATCGTCCAATTCGGTGCAGTCGTTCTGAAGTTATGAGCGTACATACATTTCGGCGATTCATTTTTATTAATATAGATTTAAACCATAACCGTAGCGACTTATTTGTTTACAAAAAATGTCTGAAACAAATTTGTTTCATTGATGAATAGTATTTTTTGTTTCATGAACAAGTTACCATGTTCCTGATTAACTTAAAACGTTTGCAAGATTCCACAGCATTCGGTTTTGCACTTTCAAAGTTAAATCGTAAAATGTTGCTACAGTTTTGATTTTTTTTCCAAAAAATTGGATGTCGAGGGTTAAAACTGAACATGAATTTATAAACCATATAATATTGTTATACTTTTTTCTAGAAATCTGGATGTCTAGGGTAAGAACTCGACACGGATTCATAAACCACAACTGCAGGAGTAACATACACATTCTATAGAACTTAAACATTTATCAGCAAAATTTTGACGCCTTAGTTTTATAGGAGGAGATAAAGGTATACATTTTGATTAACCTTTTACCACGCTTACGACAACCTTAAAACGTTTTCAAGAATTCAGAGCATTCGGTTTTATAGTCAGATACATATGTGGAAAAGAACTAATATGTAACAAATTATTAATATGAAGTCAATGACGAAGAAAATGAAAATTAAAAACAATAAAATAATCTGGCACATGTTTCACCATTTCACCAGACACAAATAACGAAATAACGTTATGTTAATTTTTATTCATTTCATTTCGAGGTTTTGTATTGTGTTATTTTCAAATTGTTAACATTCGTCAATTTTTTCGACTGCTCATTGGATTAGATTGATCGGTTAATAATAGTATATTATTAACTAAGGTTGTGAAGACAGACATTCTAGACCGAGCGCAAATTAGAACCTGAGACGCGCAGCGTCGAGGGCTCTAAAGCGCGAGGTCTAGAATTGGCTTCACAAACGTGGTTAATATACTATTTTTTCCACTAGTAGCCCATTTGAGGTTTGCGAATTTTCAAAATGTTTTTTCTGAAGTGCATCAATAAAAATGTGTACTCACGTCATTTTAGTAAGCTTTGGAATTTTATTATTTTTTGACAATCCAGAAATGGTCCAGAACTTTTGTTTTAATTTCCTCCATATTTCCCGTTTTTAATAAATTTTTGTGTGAAAAATGTTGTAAAGTGAACCATCATGTACCCCTCCTCATTCCGTCGTACTTACGCGACCGCGACAAATTTGGCTGAAAAAGGTATGGACCTTTTATCGTTAAAGCGACACGGGGAATGGAAATCCTCCAGCATAGCAGAAGGATACAACGACGGCTCGATCTTCAATAAAAAAAAAAAATCGCCGAAATCGTCCAAAGCTCATCTACGGCAAATCAAGTCAAACCAAATCGGAACCATGATTCAGTTTCAGTCCCGTAAACTTCATTTTCACTCCCATCAACTTCATCAACTTTGTTTCACCAATTTATCCTCAATTTATAATCAATTCAGGGTTTGGAAATCATTCCAGGGCATAATTTAAAAGCAAATTTTCCAAAATGATCGTTTTCAGGTTATGTCTCAGTTTTTCTGACAGTTGTGGACAGTTGTCACATTAGGTGGCCAACTTCACGTTTACATTATTGACCAAGGTTCACAATTTTCCAAATTACAGACCTCTAGACAAGTCGACAATTAGCCATTGTAATGCTACTAGTGGAAAAAAAAATTACTTCCCATCTAAAATCTACCCGTAATAAATGCATTAAATAAAGATTAATTTTTATTAAAAAAATCACTACTGTATGGTTTAAAATATTATCTCAAAAAATTCTTGTTTCGATTTAAAACTTTTGGTTTATTATAATTCTTTTTTTTTTAAAGAAAATCAAAAGAATTTCTGCCAATAAAAAGTAGGAAGAGCAGTGAATTTTATTCACATTCTTAAAAAAAAATGCACTTAGAACTATACATATTAACAACAGCAAAATATTAAATATCTATTTTTTTTCTTAATAAAGACTTAATAAATAAAAGTCTACCTAGTTCACATTGGTGACCATTTTTAGAGACTCATTAAAATTTGTTCTTTTCTTTAAATATAGAAACTTATTTCATTGAAGTGTCCTTTTTTACATAAATCAGTACACAAAGCAACAATTTGCTTTATTTAATACATACTTCTAAAAAATTCGGAAAATGGTTATTCTGCGTTGAAGGTCTGTTGTCATAAATTATTATTAATACTTTTCAGTGTCAGCTTACGATGGTTTTATGACCCATGTCCGATAACTGTCTTTACCAGAAATTTCTTAATAACTGGACACTGAAAAGTTACTAAGAAATTTCATCTTAGTTCAGGTAGATTTTAGGAAGAATTGTTGGTTGCGTTTAGGGGAAACAAATGGCGTCTAATTCAAACTTGCCTGTCGTCTAGCGTTCCACTCTAATGATTATAATTTTAATCCATTGAAAACTAACAATAAATAATGCAGGTAACCAAATATGTATGGAAACTTTTTTCAGTTAAAACATAACGAAAAACTGAAGTAAACGAAATGGGTGTAGTTCAGAGTTTTCACCATAAAAATTACACAAGTTTTGTCGAAATTTAAACACAGTTTTGGTTAAAAAAAGTGCATAATCTGTTAGTGTTTCGTATATTCTGTGGTAAAAGTGTATTTATTGTAATTCAAAAAATTTTGAACCATAACTAACCAATAAGCACAACGTAGGTCCTTCATTTTTTGACCACCACAATCTATGGTGATATATATTTTTTTAATTTGCAGATTTTATAAACTTACTATAACATGGGTAACTTTTTCCCTTACCTTGCCGCAGCTGTAGTGGCAATTGCCGTCTTAATCGAAGTTCCGGGCCTAGGAGCCGTAGCAACAGCATTATCATCCAAGAAATCCCCTTCTATAAGTTCTTCACTTTCGATATCATCCACATACACCCTCTGCGTTAGCGCCCTCATCTTCAAACACCAAGCCGCTTGATCCAACGGCTGCTTATCCAAAATTTCCGTACAAACTTCCGCACATTTATCGTACTTTTTTCTCCGAAATAAACTCAAAGCTAAATACATCGGATCCATTTTTACCAGAATCGCGCTGAGTTGCCACTTTTGTTTGTATATTCGTCGTGGTGGTAATCATGGTAACATCGACCAATCACCTGTTGCGTTATGTCTATATCAACTGCAGAAGTGCACCCCTCTGAAGGTCGATCAGATGGACGTCCTTCTCTCGCAAGCAGTCGTAGCCGCAAGCAATCAAGCACCAAGTTTGCGGAAGATGCTAAAGAGACCACTGTCGAACTTCACGAGAGCCTGGATGAGTACGACCTCGAGATTTTATACGAAATCTTCCTTAAACAACCCGGAAAACAATTCGATGCAGGTGGTCTGCGAGAAGTGCTACAAAATGTGGGGAAAATTGTGTTCTCGGATGAAGATTACAACGTGATGTTCATGAAGATGAACACGGAGAGGTACTGTCATAGTACTGTCAGATTTTTGTTGTACTCATCGTCCCATTTTTTTTTTTTTTTTAGAAATGGGCACGTCACCTGGAATGAATTCATCTCTTACCTAATTCTGTGTTACGAACAACAAGACGTGAAAGCCGAGTTTGAAACCCTCGAAAATCCTATTCCTTTGGCACCAAACATGATAAAAAGCAATCATCGCTACACTATCAATCGTGTCACTTACAACCCAACGGTGCGCCCAGATCGTACCATAAGCTGGCACGATGGTAGTCTGATGACGTGTAGTAGAGATGGTACTATCAATTACTGGTCATTGGACGTACAGTTCGAGAGATCAGTAAAATCCACTTGCCCCCATTTACGAGTGCAGCAAACCTGGGTCACCGACATGATAGCCCTCCCAGATGTCAGTGTGGTCTGTACCTCTAGTACTGAAAGGGACCTGAGATTCTACGACACTTCAGCCAGAAAATTCGAACTGAGGGTTATATTCACGTTGATGGACTGGGCTATCTACACCATGAACTACTGGTTCAGTGACGACCCAAATGAAGAATCCAAGCTAGTGTTAGGGGATATAGGGGGCAACATCCACGTTCTTTTCATAGAATCGATAGCACGAGGACCTTTCCGCAGCCAGCTGGGTATGCCTCTCCTGGAAGTTCGGTACGACCAAGTTGTCAAGGGTCTAGTCGATGGCTTCCGCGTTATCATCTTACCAAAACAGCACACAAATTCAGTACTCCAAATCCAATACTACCAAAGACTTAACACGATCATATCTTGTTCAGAATGCCCAAAAGTGGGTTTGCAAATGAGAGATTTGTCAGAAGATAAAGGAAAGTATGTTTACGCAATCACTAAAGGCGCATGGTGTTTTTCCGTTAGTGGCACTCAGTTACTAGCTAGCGGTAGCCCGGATTGTCTTGTTAGACTATGGAATCCTTTCGTACCACAAAACCCTGTGGCAGTTTTGTATGGCCACCACACTGCTATTAGTTCCGTTCTTTTGCAAGATGAAGGGAAATTCTTGTATAGTCTTTCGCAAGATAAGAGTATCAGAGTGTGGGATTGTGCAAAGCAGGTTTGTGTGCAAAATTATTTAGGGATCCCGCAGGAGTTGGGGGAACATAGCGATATGACGACTATGTATAACCCAGAAAGCAGACAATGGATTATTGGAAGTTCCATGTTGGCGGTCATTTCTCTTAGTCCGAAGCAGAGTGGAGAACATACGGATGGATTTACCCACACGGCTGGAGTCTCAGTGGTTCTCTACAATCCATTATTCAAGGTAAAGTTAAAAAGAAACATATTTAGGACAAATATTTCACATTGTCAAAAGGGTGACATTCCTCTGAAAATGTAAAGTTGCCTATCTATGCTGCCAACATTTTTAATTTATTTATCAAATTCAAATTATTCAAATGGGTTTTCGCGCGTTGTTTTTTCCTCGGCGCGAAATTTTAATTGAAACTAGGACATCACAAAATACATACTACATTTTGCAGAAAACGAAATTCCATATTTTCATTTAGCTTCCTTTTCACAATAACCCAGCCTTACTTTATCACCACCTAATCGTCTTTAACTCTTCGAAGGTGGTGGTGACCTGCGGCCTGGACAGTACCATTATTGTCTGGAACCCCTGGGACGGTCGCCGAATGATGGCCGTGAAAGAAGCCCACACCAAAAGCATCCACGCCGAAATAATCCCCATCGAAATAACAGCAGCATCTTTCGATCCGGGGTACCAACGAATCATAACCGGTGCCCACGATGGTACCCTCAAAGTGTGGAACTTCAACACAGGCACATGCCTGCGGAACATGAAAATCGAAAAAAACTGCGAAGTGAAACGCATTATCTGGGTCAAAAACCGAATCCTGGTGATGGGTTGGAATCGACGAGTCACCGAATTCGGAGACAGCGGAGAAACCGTAAGCGCGGCTGGTGAATTCTACAAGAACTGGGATCTGCGGCACCGTGAAGATATAAGTTCTGCTGCCGTTCGCGTACCGCAAACGATTGTTACAGGTAAAATATGGTTAAAATCCTAAAATTTGATTGAATATCGTGTTGTCGTCGCAGGTACTTACGACGGTGAGCTGATCATGTGGAGACTAGAGACCGGTCAACCCTACAAACAGTTTAATTGTGCCGACCCCACGACTCGTATTAAGATCCAATACAAGAAGCAAAGACACAAACCAGAAGCTCGAGTGAACAAGTTCAGTAAGCGCAATATTATTGCTCGCGCTTTGGGTAAACCTATAGATCAGGAAAAAAAGGCACCTCAGAAAGTAGCACCTCCCACGGAAGAAGACACCATCAAGCCAGTAATGTCCCGGAGGTTGTCGGCTGTGCAAAGATTGATCGCCCAAAGCTCGACCATGCAGTCAAACAGGAGCGCTATGAGGGCACGAAGGGTCTCCACAGTAGTCATGCCAGAGCAGTGCATGCCCATGAGAAGACTCGGCATACACAGTATGATTTTCCTTCACTCTAGAACCATGGATCCGGACGTCGGTACTCTGTTTATATCGCTGGAGAACGGAGCGATTCAAGTCTGGTCGCACCACATCAGCGGCGGTTTCTTAACGTCGTTCTCTGCGATACACAAGGCGGGGGATTACATCATTTGTATGGCCAGCGACGAGAAAAACGAGTACCTTTTCACGGGCTCGAGTGTGGGCTATATCAAAACCTGGCTAATAAAAAACTATTGCGTCACACAATGCGAACATATCAGTATGCCCAAACTGCGCTTGACTTTTCCCTTTTTGTGGGGCGACTTCTTCGTGGGACGAGCTGCAAGAATTGCGAGATCGCAGCCTGTGCCGATTTTGCTCAATAGTTACAAGGGTCACGCTATGACAATATCCGACCTGGCGTACATCGACGAGGCGCAGATTTTGATCAGGTATTTAGGGTTTACTCTGAAGTGGAATAACATTTTGTATTAGTTCCAGCGCGGATTACACCGTACGAATGTGGACCCTCGGTGGCCGCTATCTCCAAACGCTGGGTACATTTAAGCCGTGGCGCAATGTCCCCCATAACCCTAAAGTGCGAGATGAGACCTTCGAGTTCACCACTCCTCCTGATATTATGAGACTGGGAAGTACAACGACCCTCAGAGTGAGCTCCTCATGAAACAACTGTCAACTTATTAAAGTCTTGCTAGGTACTCCGAGGTGGTACGCCTTTGAGGACGCTCACGTTCAAACAACTGCAAGTGAAGCGAGTAAAAGAGCTGACTCACGTTGACCATACGAAGATTTATGGTGAGAGATTGACGGAACCCATTTTGGGACATTATTATAAACCGTCAGAAAGAACAACGCACTTTCACGAATTCAAGTTTGACACTTCGTTCCCTTACGTAAGTACGGATGTTACGGAGAAAAATGGTGCTAGTCAATCCAAAATTGAGTTTTGGGGGCTGGGAAAAATCAGGGTGCAATTATTTTTTTGGCCTATACGGGTAAAGACAAAAAAATCTATAAGGAGCATTTTTGTAGATATTAGAGAGTTTGCGTTGGATGTTTTTACGGTCTAAATTACAATGGTTCTTCTCTTATAAAATAGTGTAAGCAGAAAAAGCGCAAGCTAGTTTGCGCATAAACGTCTTCCGGTTGTGACAAGCCAACCACTCCGTCAAAATTGAGACATGCACACAAAATTTGAAAACCCGCAAAAAATTTTGAAAAGCGGCCAAGAACTGTAAGCGTTGACGAAATGGAGCCCTACATTGTGTTTTAAAATGGCGGAATGCGTTATAATGCAAAGTGGTGAATCACAAAGGTGTAAAAGTGACCTTTTTTTTTATCAAAGGGGTGTATTTTTTCTGCTAAAAAAAATTTCTCGTTCTTTTCGAATGCAAGATTACAAATTTCAATCACATAAATACAGCTTCCGAGCCTTTGCAAAGTATCAGCCCAAGGACAGACTACGCATCTAGGCTAGCCCGGGTACCATAGTTCATAAGGAAAGAACTTTCATCAGTCAAGTTACAAACAAATTACACCGTTCACATGTACAATTTCTTTATATACATTAATCGGATTAATAAAAAAAAATAATAAAAATTAACTGAAAAACAGGTCAGGTCAGGTCAGGTAAGTTTTACTTTTTCAACAGTCTTTTATAAAGATGCAGTAGCCCCACCCACCCACCCTGTCTTCATTCTGGTGACTACTCCTAATATTGTTCCGTCTTTTCTTATCAAGTACTAGCCCCGCCCACCCAGCCTCTATTTTATTAGAAGGTATGTCAATTGTTAAAATCAGCCTTATTGTAGCAAGTCCTAACCACACCCACCCGCCCTCTTTTTATTCTAACGACGAATTTTATTTCTGTTTAGTTTAAGATGCACCTTCCAATCAAACGAGATAAAATTAATCAGTGAAATAAAGGCGAGGTGGGTGGGCGTAGTTAATTATATATTTTTTGTAGACTGTGGGAACTAATAAAACCTAGGCTGTAAAAAGGTAAAAAAGCCCTAATTATGATGTTTTTTATACTATTTGCTATAAAATTTCCTACTTGTTTCACAACAAAAAAAAAAAAAGAGAACGGGTGGGTGGATGATTCTAAGTTTAACTTTTTCCTGAAGTCTTTTATAAGCAAGCTATTGTATTTTTACAAATGATTGTAAGTGGACAAATTTATAGCCAAACCTTACACAGTAAAATTAAATTTAATGTACCTAGATCGAGCAGTTGTAGTCGATAAGTTTCTCATATAAAATTCCAAGCACATTTCATCACTTCAATAGTCCCCTTATACAGGGTTTTTATAAATGACTATAAGGTCGAGGTAGGTAAATTAAGTAAACATTACAAAACTACCAAAATTTCGTGATATCACACCACAACGACAAAACGATAAGAATCTCCATGATGTTGATCAAATCAAAATTAATTAACCAAAAATTTTACATCGTGAATCGAATTCCTCATCACATAAATAAAAACACATACTAGATATGGTCAAAATCACAATAACATAGTTCGGTACACACTTCGCTGTGAGAGGAGTCTCCGAAAATAAATATTCAAAATCCAGGTCGTAAAACACATACATGATAATACAAAATCAGCATAAAATCCCCTTTCCCTCTTCGAATTCACGATGACATTTTTTTACTACTACTACTATTTACTATTTTAGAATTGACAAATAAGAATCTATTTAAATGTAAATAATACATTAGGAAAAACCATCCATTGCTTTAAACATATCAATTTAAAATTTTATAAAATACTAGCGTTTCGCCCGCGTAGACCATTCGTTGTGCTGAAGAGCATTATTATCAACCTTCAAGTAAAAATGTGTTGAAGGACATTAATTCAATTTCCAGTAAAAATCGACATAAAAATTGTTTGCTCATAAAAACTTTGTCACCCCCTTTCATCTTCTTAGGGGTGAAATCTCGAAACAATCTGAAATACGTGTTTCATTATTTGTGATGAAGAGTATTAAAACCAAGTTCCCCGTAAAAAGTTAAATTTACAGTAGAAATATTTTTTCCATACAAACTTCACCACCACTTTTCACCCCCTTAGAGGTTGAATCTCGGAAAATAATTAAATACGTGCTTCATTATTTTTATTGAAGACCATTCATACCAAGTTTCACGTAGAAATTTAAATTTACAAATATTTTTCCCATACAATCTTAGCCACCACTTTTCACCCCCTTTGGGGTTAAATTTTGGAAAATGCTTAAATACGTGTTTCATTACACAGGCCTGCGAAATATAACTTTTAATTTCCTTTTTAAATCATATTGTTTTTTTTTTAAGTATTTATGAATTAAAATATAACTCTAGTTTTTTTGTAGCACATCGAGATTTATTTTTATGTAGGCCTAAATATTCATAGTTTTTCAAACAATTTTTATGAAAAAATAAAATATAAAGAATATAAAATTGAATGTTTATTTATTAAATGAACTAAATTAGTTATAAACAAGACTTAAAAAAAAACAAATAAATCAAGAAGCTTCTTTTTTCTTTCTTCAAAGCTCTGATTTAAGCGTTTTCTCTTGTAATCGCGATAGGATATGTTATTGCTGTTACATTTTTCACATTATATCTTTTTATATTTGAACAGCAAAAGTAACAATCGTCTGTATGATTTTGTGGCTCTATCCAAATGATTGGTGTCAGCAAACTTAAAGATTTTTTTTTCCTTTTGACCATTTGCGAGGTGCATGAACACATTTTATAAGGCACCCATTTTTTGTCTTGGTTTTTTATATTAACTTTAAAATAACTTTTGCATAGTTGTTCGATAAATTCAGAAATTATTTGTTGTTATTTTTTGATTAAATAACTTCTACAAATGTAACAGAAGTTATCTGAAGGATTAACCCATTTCCGAGAAGACATTAGTAATTTTTGTTTAAATTCAGGGTAGTAAGCGCATAGTCGACACAAATAACTGTTACTAAGCTGAACACGAAATGAAATATCAACCCATTATCCATACATATTATTACCACAAAATCTAGACGTTAATTTTTATAGTACTAAGGACAAAACTGAAAAAATAATATTTGCAGAAACTGTACGTGATAGAAATTTTTGCAATTTTTTTTTATACATGAGTATTAGGGATGTACCGACTAGTGGCCGACCGGTCGGATAAGCCGACTATTCGGCCGTTTTTCATCGTCGGCTGCAGTCGGCGACTAGTCGGCTAAACAGCCGATCGGTCGGCTTTTTTTTATTAAAATTAAAATACTATATAAAACAATTAAACTCGGTTTACAGAACCTCAATTAAATATTTAATTGCGATTTAATGTTTAACCCCGCGTTAAAGTACCATGTGATGGACTCTACGCCAATCAGACGTCGCTAATGGCCTTGCTAAATGCGCGATCAACTTAATCTCAGTTAAAATATTGTATAAACTGGCCCTAAATTGTGTCATTCTTTATTTTTGTAGTGAGTTATTAAAAAAAATTAAATGTTAAAATTATCCAAACAAATTTAACACATTTTTTGGAAAGTAAAAGGAACTTTGGTTATTCCTTTCATTAAATAAAACAAATTTTTAAGGTAGTCAGAGAAATAGAAAAAAAAAACACACTGTCTGTTGCATTTATAAACCGGTTTTAGCAAAGCCGAACAGTCGGCCGACTAGTCGGTTTTTACTGGCCGAACAATCGGCTAGTCGGTTAGTCGGCGAGACCTACAGTCGGTACATCTCTAATGAGTATCTAAGACCTACCGAAATTACTACTTGATTTTCTTGGGGGAAAACCATCGCAGGCCTGTGTTATTTGTGTTGGAGACAATTAATGCCAAGTTTCATGTAAAAATTAAAATTTACAATAGAAATATTCCCACACAAATTTAACTATCATATTTCACCCCCTTAGGGGTTGAATCTGGAAAAATGCTTAAATACGTGTTTTATTATTTGTGCTGAAGAGCATTCATACCAAGTTTTAAGTAAACATCACCGTAAAAATATTTTTCTCATACAAACTTCGCCACACCCTTTTTTACCCCCTTAGGGGTTGAATCTCAGAAAATGTTTAAATACGTGTTTCATTATTTGTGTTGAAGAGCATTAATTTAATATCAAGTTTCACGCAAAAATTTAAATTTACAATAGAAATACTTTTCCTATACAAACTTAACTAGTACTTTTCACCCCCTTAGGGTTAGCATTATTACCAAGTTTCACGTAAAAATGTAAATATACGTACAATAGAAATATTTTCCCATACAAACTTAGCCTCCACATTTCACCCCCTTAGGGGTTGAATTTTAGAAAATGCTTAAGCACCGGTTTCATTATTTGTGTTGAAGAACATTAATTCTAAGCTTCACGTAAAAATTTCAATTTATAGTAGAAATATTGTTCCTATACCAACTTAGCCGCCCAAACTTAGATACCACTCTTTGGGGTCGAATCTCCGAAAATGCTTAAATACGTGTTTCGTTATTTGTGTTGAAGAGCATTAATACCAAGTTTTAAATAAACATCACCTCAAAATTTACAATAGAAATATTTTTCGGATACAAAATTAGCCACCACTTTTCACCCCCTTAGGTGTTGAATCTCGGAAAAAGCTTCAATAGTGTTTCATTATTTGTGTTTAAAAGCACTAATACCAAGTTTCACGTGAAAATTTAATTTTACAATGGAAATATTTTTTCCGCACAAAGTTAGCCAGTACTTTTCACCCCCTTAGGGGTTGAATCTCGGAAAATGCTTAAATACGTGTTTCATTATTTATGTTTTAGACAATTAGTGCCAAGTTTCACGTAAAAATTTAAATTTACAATAGAACTATTCCCACACAAATCTAGCGACCATATTTCACCCTCTCAGGGGTTGAATTTTAAAAAATGCTTAAAGACTGGTTTCATTATTGGTGTTGAAGAACATTAATACCAAGTTTGACGTAAAAATTTCAATTTATAGTAGAAATATTGTTCCTATACAAACTTAGTTGCCCAAACTTAGACACCACTTTTCACCCCCTTAGGGGTCGAATCTCCGAAAATGCTTAAATACGTATTTGCTTATTTGTATTGAAGAGAATTAAAATGTACCAGGTTTCACGCAACGATCTAAATTTACAGTAGATATATTGGTCCTATACAAATTTTATCACCCCTTTTTAACCCCCTTAGGGGATGAATTTCGAGAAATCTCTTCTTAAACGATGCCTCCAGTATAAAATGAACATTCTCTCCAAATTTCAACTTTCTATCAATAGCGGTTTGGGCTGGGCGTTTATATGTCAGTCGGGACATTGCCTTTTAAATATAAAGATTACATATCTCACTTGTAGCATTGCTTATTTCTTCAGTATCATATAAGAAAATAAAATGTATTATTTCTAGGCACGGAAGTGAAGTTAGGATTCGATAGAAACAGTTAATATTGTTCCCCACATTATATTAAATAGGCGATTTTCTCATTAGCTCCGCTATTAAAAAAAAAACATTTCTACGTTAACGTTATAAATTTACGTTACAGTTAAACCGTAACCTGAATTTATGTAAGCCAAATATTACGAGACGCAAACCCTATAATAGAATTTTCCAGCCTAATAATATTAATCAGAAAAAAGTTACGGGCTCAAAAACTAGGGGATGAAAAATTTTGAGGACTTTCAACCCTAGTACGGTTGTTTATTTTGTTTTAGATTCCTGTTTATCAACATCTTATTATGCCACCCTTCCAAGAACTCAAACCATCCAACGTGAAACCAAGCATTCGAGAAGAACAAGCAAAATCGGAAGAGAAAAAGGGTGAAAACGAAGCCAACTGAAATGAGACTACTTGCAAATGGTTTAATTCATAAATCACAATCGTATCTGTATATAAATAGATCTTTTAACAATGTAACCGACGTAAAATCAGAAAGTATGAATCACTATGAATTGCTCTTGTAAATACTCTGTAACGTTTGACAGCCGTCTAGTAACAATTCCGCTATTTTGTATTCGTACTGACTCTCGTCTAGACACGAAAGACTACGATTGGCTAAATTTTCGATACCTTCTAAGCTACTAGGGGCACACCAATCACCGTTCTGAAACAAACAATTTTACTCGAAATCTTCACACAAGCAAAAAATCTTACCAACTGGTCCATGTATCGTGTGACGGCAGTACTTAAAGCTACAACATTCTGACACAAGTTGGGCGATGTTGTCAGAAATTGTGACAATCGTTTACCCGCAATAGCCAACAATTCTGGTCCTAACTTATTCTTTTGTTCCACACAACGAAACAGTTCGTCGCCGAAACTATCAAAACCGTTCGTATAAATCTGAACAAGTTCATACCTCCTCAAAACATCCAACTCCAAATTCCACAGTTTCCCAAGATCTACGCACTTCGACATCCACCTGATATGATCAGCCGCAAATATCTTATTATCATTGACAGTCACACTTTCCAGACTTGCCGATATCACTTTGAACAAAAACTGTGTTCGAGAAGTTTGCACTTTAAAATCGCTATAGTTCCAATTGATTTGAGCCTTCGTCTGAAAATCGATGAAAAAAAGGCTGAGCATATACGACTCGAACAAGTTATTGAGAGGTTTTGAATGTTTGATCGAAAACGCGGTGATCATCTGTAGTGTCAAACTCAACTGGTAGTGTAGATGCAGCAAATCGTAGTTGATTGCGTTCTGTTGAAGAGCTAACTCTACCAGAGGCTGTGGTCCGTTTTCCCAAACTTGCTCAAACTGAAGAACGGGCTTAACAATACCGTAACTTTGTTGTACTGCGTCCATATACGTGTCTAGAAAATTTGTAGTGATCCCTAAGAAAATCGCAACCTGGTAGTCGGACAAACCGGTGTCTTGCTTGCAAAGTCTCTCTTTCGGCAACTTGCCAACTTTGTTTATAAGTTTGCTGGCGCTTTCGAAGATGATCTTCAAGTGGGTGTTCCACACGAGGTTGTATAGACCTTCTCTGATATGTGAGCTGGTGATGTGTGTTAAACATTTAATGCAAGCCTCTAGGTTGCCTAAATCTTCGATGTTCTTTTGCCAAGCTAGAGCATACTCCCAACACATGTTCGTCAAGACAACACTAGCTTCCAAGCTATAGGGGAACTGTGATTTTAGCAAATTTAACAGTTCGAACACTTGCTCCGACTGCACTTCTTCGATTTTATGGGGCATTATGTCTTGTTCGGGCAAATCGTCGTCGTTGTCGTCAGACGACACACTAGGAGTGTCGTCTTGTTGTTTTTTGAGTAGAGCGTCATTAATGACGATGTTTTCTGGATTTATTCCACACATTGTCAACCAACGAGCTACTAACTCACTAACCGACCCTTTCCCTTTGTCTAGAATATACTTCAAACTAATGTCAATATGGTCATGTTTGAGCTTCGGTAAGGTGGTGAATTTTGCCACGGGTTTGTTGGCTAAAACTATGTTTAAAAGGGAGACATCCTCGAGTTTTCCGATCAGTAGAGTCCATTCTATGCTTTCTTGTGACAAAATCTCGATGTTTTCGTCGTCCACACTACTGGAAGCTTCGATTTGTTCTGATATCAGTTTACACAAAATGGCTGCGGTTAGAGCAGGGAACGGTCTCGAAGAATTGGCTAGAATGTCTCTAATACCCTCCCAAAACGTCGAAGTGGAGCTATAGTCGGCCGTAATTTCTTCCACTTTGGCAGTTTTTACCAAAACAGCGATCAAAGAGTACAAGTTGTTCATTTCATTTTCTAGATTAACATTGTTCAAAGATCGATTAACCCAATAGTGAATCAATAAGAAGAAAAGATCTCTAGTTGGAATTTTGCAATTTTGGATTTCTTCTTCCAAACCTTGCAATTTAGGGCTTTGGACGTAAGTTTTAAAAATCAGTTCTGACGTTCTAAATAACAAACTATCGTCTACGTTTTGCTTTAGAGTGATAACTTCAGTTTGATTTAGATTGAACACCGATAAAAATTCCGAGGGAGACAAAATTCCGCTTTCTAAAAACCCTACTTTAAGTTCTAACTTCTGGTCTTTCATTGTACTTAAATCTAAAAGTTTTTGTAAATTCCCCAACTGCTTCGTCTCTAAGTGTATTTGCGTTTCTCCTGAAACCTCCCCCGAGTTACCATTTTTCTCATCTAACTCTTCCTTTCTCGTGAATAGGTAAAAATTAAGCAACGAACTCACACTCTGCGAGATGGTTTTCAAATTGTCATCCGTCTCCGTATTATCCTCTATAAAGCATTGAACACATTTTAAAATTATCTCAGCGGGAAGATTCTTATCCCCTAGCAACAACTCCAACGTTTGCAACTTCAACTCCGCAGTCTTTATTTCAGTGGAAATTTTCAAAATCTCCCCCTCTAAAGCTTCCTTATCACATTCGCCATGTTTCAAAAACTGTTTCAGTTTTTTAAACAAATGTATATCACGAGCCCGTTTATTATTTTTTTCGCTTAGCGCAAAATGGAAGGGTATCGAAACCTCCTTGATCTGTCCGTCGTTATCTATCAGTACCGTATCAAACTGACACACAAATCGCGACTTCAACGTCGTGGTGAACCCCATTAAGCCGTAATTATTGTAAACTAACCTACTATATCTAGATGCCGAGAACGTGGTAACCTTTTGACCCTGCTGTACGGTGAAAATCTCGATAGTACCTTTTTTAGACGAATAAATCACTAAAAACAACGCTACTTTATTTCCTATCCGATGCTTTGAATGTCTTTCGTCTGGTACTTGTATGAAGGAACACTGGGCTTCGCGGTAGCCTTTGAAAATTCGTAAAGTGATGCCTCTGAAGGCGTCCATTAATAAAACGCGACCCAGAGCGTCGGAAACTGCTGCTAGTTTATGGTCGGGCGAGAGAACGATATTCGTTGCTGTTCTGCGTAGGTCGCATAAACCAAATCTACAGCCCATGGTTTCTGACGGTTGCATGGCTACTGACATCGGTTTCTCGGCTGCTGTTTTGCCCCCGGTAAGCCAACCCCTGATAATCATATATATTTAAAATATTTTCAATGGAGGCTAGAAATTCGTCCACAAAAATTGGTATTTTGTGAAATGAGCATACAAGTAGACAGCATGTATTTAGAGGTACATATATACAAATTTGAGGTTATGGTTTGCAGCCATCTTCATTTCCTGTAATTTATTTGTTTAAATGAGATTTTATTACCAAAATAAAAAATTGGTCGAAAATTGTTTCGACAGAACTTTCCTTGCCCCTGAAGTGCAGTCCAGCAAATCCTGAAAAACTAGTGGCGTAAATAATACTCCAGCAACTCAACCGCGCAAATTAGAAAAATTAAAAAATGTAAATATCCAGAGACCGAAAAATCGAAAAATTTAACAACGGAATATCAATAAATCGAGAAATTAAAAATTCAAAAAAATTTAAAAATCGAAAAAATGAAAAACCCAAACATTGAAAATCGAAAGACCATAAAATCGAAACATCAAAACATAGAAAAATTAAGATATTCAAAAATTGAATGGTTCCCAAAACTGAGAAATCGAAAATTTGAAAAATTGAGACATCTGAAAATCATAAAGTCGAAAAATTTTTAAAATCCAATAACCAAGACGTCAAGAAATCGAAACACCAAAAAATCGTAAAATCAAAAATTCAAACACTAGCGAAAAATGTAAAATTGAAACAAAAACCTGAGAAATCGATCATTTAAAAAATCGAAAAATTGAAAAATTGGAATATCGAAGAACTGAAAAATAAAAAAAAAAGAGAAATCGAATCATCTTAAATTTAAAAATCGGAAAACCAAAATGTCGAAAAATTGAAAAATCAAGAAATCGGAACATCAAAAAAGGAAAAATTCAAAAACTGAAAAATCTAAAATAAAAAAATCGAAAAATTGAAAAATCGACTCGAAAAATCGGAAATTGATGAATCGAAAAACTAAAAAATAATTGCAAATTTCAAAACTGAAATGAAAAACTGGGAAGTCGAAAAATCGAAACACAAAAAACAAGAAAACTGAAAATTATAAAATCTAAAAATTGAAAAAGTAAAAAATCGAGTAATCGAAAAATCGAAAAGTCCAAAAATTGAAAAACCGAAGAATCGAAATATTGAATAATCCCCAAAAAAATGAAATATGGAAAAAAAATTGAAGAACAAAAATCGACCAATCAAAAAATGTAGAACAGAAAAATCGAAAGATCGTAAAATAGAAAGAAATATCAAAACAACTGAAATACTGAAAATTGGAAAAGTAAAAGATCTAGAAATTGAAATGTCTAAAAATCGAAAAATTGAATCCCAAAAAGTGAATTATCGATAAGTTTCAAAATGGAAGAAAAATTAAAGAATCGAAAAACTGAAAAATCCCAAAACTAAACATCGGCAAATTGAAAAATCGAGAAATCGAAAAGTTGAAAAATCGAAATCGAAAAATTGAAAAGTCAAAAACCTGAAAATCAAAAAATCAATTAATAGAAATGTCAGAAATTCAAAAAATGAAAAATCAAAAAACGAAAAATTTTTAAAATCGAAAAATCGAAAGATCGAGAAATCGGAATATCAAAAAAATTGAAAAACTAAAAATTTTAAATTCAAAAATGGTAAAAACGAAAAATCAAAGTCTTAAAAATCCTACAATTGAAACGAAATATTGAAAAATCTAAACATTGAAAACTTGAAAAGTCAATTAATCGAGAAATTGAGGGATCGGAAAATTGAAAATTTGGAAACGTCAGAAATTGAAAAATTGAAAAATCAAAAACAGAAAAGTCGAAAAATCGAAAGATCGTGTAATCGAAATATCAAAACAATTGAAATACTGAAAAACTGTAAAAATTGAAAAATCGCAAAAGTATAAAATCTAGGAATTGAAAAGTCTAAAACTCGAAACATTGGGCAATTCCAAAAACTGAATTATCGATAAGTTTTAAAATGGAAGAAAAATTAAAGAATCCAAAAATTGAAAAATCCCAAACTAAACATCGAAAAATCAAAACTCTGATAATGAAAAAATCAATTAATCGAAAAATTGGAAATTTAGAAACGTCAGAAATTCTAAAAAAAAAAAATATTTTAAACCGAAAAATTGAAAAACCGAAAACTCTAAAACCGAAGTCGAAAAACCGAAAGAGCGAGAAATCGGAATATCAAAAAAATTGAAAAACTGGAAAATTTTAAATTTAAAAATCGAGAAATCGAAAAATGTAAAAGTCTAAAAATCGAACAATTGAAGAATTGAAAAACTGAAAAATCTAAACATTGAAAAATCAATTAATCGAAAAATTGAAAGATCAGAAAATTGAAAATATAGAAACGTCAGAAATTAAAAAATCGAAAAATCAAAAAATGTAAAACAGAAAAGTCGAAAAATCGAAAGACCGTGAAATGGAAAACTGAAATATGTATTGAAAAATTAGAAAAATTGAAAAATCGAGAAATCTCAAAAACTGATAACATGATATCGATAAGATTTAAACTGGAAGAAAAATTAAAGAACCGAAAAAGTGAAAAATCACAAGACTGAAACATCGAAAAATTGAAAAATCAAAAACCTCAAAATCGAAAAATTCAAAAATTGAAATCTCTACACTGAAAAGTTGAAGCATTTGAAGGTCGAGAAATCGAACAATGCGAAAATTAAAAAATCAATTAATCAAGAAATACAAAATTGAAAAATTGAAAATTTACAAACATCAAAAATCGAAAAATTCAAAAGTCGGAAAATTGAAAAATCGTAAAATTGAAATATTGGAAAATTGAGAAATCAAAAAATCAAGAAATCGAGAAATCGAAAATTTGAAGAATCGAAAAATTAAAAAATCCTAAAACTGAAACAGCGAAAAATTGAAAAATCGAGAAATCGTAAAGTCGAAAAATCGAAGTCAAAAAATTGAAAAATCAAAAACTTGAGAATCGCAAAATTGAAGAATTGAAAAACTGAAAAATCAAAACATTGAAAAGTCGGGCAATCGAGAAATAGGAAAAGTCAAAAACCAATTCATCGAGAAACTGAGAACCAAAAAATTGAAAATTCAGAAACGTTAGAAACTGAAAAATTGAAAAATCGGAAAATCAAAAATTTTTAAGATCGATGAATTGAGAAAACGAAAAATCTGAAAGCAAGAAATCGAAAAATTGAAAAATCAAAAACTTGAGAATTGCAAAATTGAAGAATTGAAAAACTGAAAAATCAAAACATTGAAAAGTCGGGCAATCGAGAAATAGGAAAATCAAAAACAAATTCATCGAGAAACTGAGAACCAAAAAATTGAAAATTCAGAAACGTTAGAAACCGAAAAATTGAAAAATCGAAAAATCAAAAATTTTTAAGATCGATGAATTGAAAAAACGAAAAATCTAAAAGCAAGAAATCGAAAAATTGAAAGATCGAGAAATTGAAGTATGAAAAAACTGGAAAACTTAAACAATTTAAAAATTGAAAAATGGCAAAAGTAAAAAATCGAGAAACCAAAAAGTCTAAAAAGCGAACAAATGAAACGAAAAATTGAAAAATCAATAACTTGAAAATCTAAAAACTGAAAAATAGAAATATGTATCAAAACTGAAAAATCGAAGCATTGAAAAGTCGAGAAGTCGAAAAATGAGAAAATCAAACAATCAATTAATCCAGACATAAGAAATCGAAAAATTGAAAATTTAAAAATGACAAAAATTGAAAAATCGAAAAACTAAGAAAATTCTCAAAACTGGAAAAACGTGGACTGAAACATCAGAAAACTTGAAAAATCGAAAAATGAGGAAATCCAGAAATCAAAAATTTGAAAAGTCGAGAAATTGAAGAATCGAAAAATTTAAAAATACCAACACGGAAATATCGAAAAAGTGGGTAATCGAAAAAATAAAAACGAGGAATTGAACAATTAAAAAATCGGGAACGTGAAACATCGAAAATTAAAAAACAAAGGTTGAAAAATCTTGAAATCGAAAAGCCGAAAAGTCGAAAATTCGGGAATTTGAAAAATCGAAAAATTGTTATATCTTGTTATATCTACACCTTTGATTTTTTTTCCAAAAACTTGGCTGCCTAGGGTAAAAATTCAACGCGGATTCATAAACCACAAACTGTGGATTATCTTACTTCTTAACATTTAAATAACATTATTCGACAAAACTGTTACATGACATGAACTATTTCTGGGGGGTCATGAATGGATCAATTTTAAATAACGATTTACCATGCTTCCAATAACCTTAAATCGTTTGTAAGATTTCAAAGCATTCGATTTTGCAATTTTTAAGATAAATTCTAAAATGCTGTTATACAATTTTGATTTTTTCGATAAATTTGGATGCCTAAGGTAAACATTCAACACGGATTCATAAACCACAAATGGAGGATACGCTATTTTATAAAATTTAAATAATATTCACCATTGTAAAATTTGGTGATGACGTAATTCCATTGCTAGGTGGGGATGAGCAGACAAATTATACTCCTAACATACATACAAAATTTCAGAATAATCGGTCCGGTTATCGGAAATTGTCTAATAAAAATCCGACAGACGACAGACAGACAGACAGACGGAAACGAGGACCTATTTTTTCGTATTCTAGGGGTCATGAAACGTCGAGACAACACGAAAGTAACCAGTCGCCCGATGGACTCGATTATAATACTTCCTTAGCTTACGACCGCTAAGTAAAAATAAATAATTTCAAAGACAGAATCTTACTAAAAATAAAGAACTGTCTATTTTTATGACAAAGATCCAGCGTATCTTATGAACTTTTTAGTTTTAAAAAACGTAAGATAAACAAATTTTTTTAGGAAAAAAAACTCTAGCCGTGTACCACAAAAGATTACCAATTTTTGTGGTCAGTCTTATATTTTGAACCCTAAACCTGAATTAAAACTTACGGTAAAGCTGATTTTAATTTTGTTGCGACAGCTTTTGCAACATCACTGAAGACAGGTTGAGGACAGCCTTCAAGAGCGTAGTGATAACCAACAAAGGGGCGGGAGCCCGTGGCTAAGACAAGATTATTATAAGGGGCAGAAGAGCGATACCTTGTCTCAAAACCGCCACATGTGGAAGCTGTTAGTAAATGATCAAAAGTTCCATGCAGATTGACACCTACCACCGCAATGTCATTAATGGTGGCCTGGTCTTGGAAGCCCCATTTTTTGGGGGTTAAGTTACCATGGGATGGTTCTAGAGTATCCCCTTTGGCTTGTACTAAAAACGCATATTTAAGAAAAGTTTTAGGTTTCCTTTATGGAATACCTCTAGCTAATTCACTTCTACAAACTCGTAACACTGGAAATAACTGGTTGCCTGCTACGACACAAACGGTACTTTGATACTGAACATAGAGTTCTTCTGGGTGTAAGTCTGGGGCGATGTCGGGTCGTGGATTATGTTGACTGCGGCACTTGATGGTTCCGATAACTTCATTGTGGAGCTGTTCTTCTAATAGTAACTCACAACTTTCAGTGTAAAAGCGTAGAAAACCTGACTCAAAACCAAGCACAACACAAGTCCAATCTGTCCCAACCTGTAACTAAATTATTAAAGGAAAAAATCTGAGAAGCTATGATGGGCATTACATGAGAGCTTTTACTCTGACCAACAATAGGTAAACATGCCACAGCCCTTATATTATCACTTTCGTGTATCGAACCAGAGTAACTTATTTGAAATTGACTAATCGAAGAGGTGGTGTCCCATTTAGCGGTTAAAATCACAAGTCTTCGCTCATTTGCTATTGCTATTATATCACCTGTTGGTGACACGGATAATTCACACAGCTGTAACCAACTATCAGACCCTGAAACTTATCGTTTTTGTTTTGGTCACGATGGGAAAAAAATTACCTCTTGAGTCGTCGGTAGGGAAAAGACATCTCCTGATTGCGGCAACATCAGCTATGTTAGCCGTCACATTAATCTGACACGACATTTTACATTAATTACAGGATTTGTTTTAACACACATTGATAAACACACAATTTTTGACACTTTGTTTGACAAGTAATCGATCGATGAAATGTCAATGTCAAAAATAAGTCAATGGTTCACCGGTAGGGGGCTCAGTAAATCCAAACCTTACAGAACATTACAGATTGGGCAAAATTATAAACGCGATTAAAAAAATATACATTATTTCATTATAAAAATTATAGGAAAAACTGTGATAGTAGAATAACGTGCTAAAATTTTTCCTCATGTGCATCCGCAATTTTCAGTACTGCCATTACGCCGTTAGGTGGCGCCAGTGCACTTAACCTCAAACTGTCACCTGTGAGTGAATGTTTGTGTGTCAATATTTTGTAAATAAAAGTAAAAACAACCCCCTTGGAAGCAAATTGTGATGTCGACCATGACGTCTGCAAACAACAAAAAGGTAATGATCCATTTAACTTAACGCCTCTTTTATAAAATCCATTTTTAGAACGGAAGTTCCACTGAAAGTTCCTCAGGTTCTACAGACTCCTCTAGCTCCAGCTCTTCGTCAACCGGCTCAGATTCATCTTCTTCAAGCGATAGCGAGTCCTCCAGCTCGCAGGAATCCACCAAGCAGCAATCTGGCTCTGAAACGAAGAAAGCTACCACCCTTCAAAAAAACCCGCGAAAAAGCACCGACACCATAAAACTGGCCCCCACGAAATCATCAGAAATGAAACCAGCACCAAAACCTAAAGCTCAAATAACAAAACCGACCAAACAATCGTCGAAAACTGCCATTTATTCATCAGAAGACGAAGACGCTAAAAATAAAGCTGCAATCAAGCGAAAAAGCACCGCTAAGCCGAAAAGCAGCGCAACCATAACACCTAAACCAGCACCTACAAACAAACCGGTTGTGACAAAGCCGACAGTTAAGCCTGTCCAAAATAAAGGGGCTAAAACTAAAGAGCCATCTAAAAAAATTGTTACAAAGGGTAAGAGTGATCCTGCAAACAAGAAAAAAAGTATTTTTTCGCCGGAGAATAGCTCAGAGTCTGAAGATGGGGCAAAGAAAAATAGACCAAAACCTCCAGCGCCTAAACCGCGTCCTAAAGCCGCTGCGAGAACTGTTGAGAAACCTAAACCTCCTGAGAAAAAGATTGAGAAGCCTGCTCCTAAATCAAAGGCCGTGGTTAGCTCAGCGAGCTCTGCATCTTCAAGTACCGCCTCTAGCAGCAGCTCTGATAGCGAAAGCAGCGCAGAATCGTCCAGTACCAACAGAAAAATGTCTGAGAAGAAGGCAACAAAGAAACCTTCTGTTACGGCGAAAGAGCGAATTGTTTTATCTGATTCAGAGATTGAAGGTGCACCTACGAAACAAGTAACTCGAAAATTGACAAGATCTGCCAGTACTCGCAAATCTAAGCACGTCCTAGGCAAAAACGTATACTCTGATACAGATTCAGACACTGAAAGTACAAAACGTTCTTTAAGTAGATCTCCCGTAAAGCGGGCACCAGTTTCCACAAAAGGCAAAACGAAAAACAATAAACGCAACGACGCAAAGTCACGAGCGAGCGAAATAATCCTAATAGAAGAACGCAAGTGTCCCTTGGAGGGCTGCAATAGCCAAGGGCACCTAAGCGGCAAATTCGACAAACACTTCACCCTAGAAGCCTGCCCTACATTCCACAACCTCACCCCAACCCAGTGCAAAGAAGAACTAAACGAGCGCAAAAAGCGCGAAGACAATCGCAAAAAGGCCTTGGAATACCACAGAAAGTCACCACGGCCACAAATAACCCAAGACCAAAGACAGTATTTGCAGAAAATCCGTGACATCCACTTAAAATTCAAATCAGAACCTGTAGAAGAAGTAAAACCGCAAAACCCCGATAAAAACCGTGAGCTGGATTTAACGAATTTCGTGCCAGATTATGATTTGAAATTATTCAGAGACGCTCAGGCTTTGGCCAGCGAAAAGATCGAGGAAGATTTGAAAACTCAGCCCAACACGAAAGGCACGAAATGCATAGAGATGGGGAAGTTCGAAATGGAGGTCTGGTACCAGAGTCCGTATCCTGAAGATTACGCGCGATTACCGAAACTTTACATTTGCGAGTACTGTTTGAGGTACATGAAGACGCGAACGGTTTTGCAGAGGCACGTGGTTAAGTGCGTTTGGAGGCACCCACCGGGCGAGGAAGTCTATAGGAAAGACAGAATTAGTGTGTGGGAAGTAGACGGGAAGCGCTATAAACAATTTTGTCAGAATCTCTGTTTGTTGGCGAAGTTCTTTCTGGACCATAAGACGCTGTATTACGACGTGGAACCGTTTTTGTTTTATGTTATGACTATCGTGGACAGTGAGGGGTGCCACACGGTGGGGTACTTCAGCAAGGTAAGTCAGGGTGTACGAAAAATGCAATGAAAAATAGTATTTTCAACAAATGTTGTTAGAATAAACTGGATTAAAATGAACAACTTATTAGTTAAACTAATACCTAATGCATACATTTATGGAATAAACAAGGTATAAAATGTGTGGCGTCATATGTAAAATATATTCAAAATGATATTACAAAATGATTACATGCATAAATGATACTCACAAATTAGGGACTCACCACCTGTTGATTAATGCTGGTATTGCTGGTAACATGACAAATATTTCTATCGTATTATTACCTGAGCGTAATCTAACGAAGTATAGTATCCCATATGTATATATAATATCCAGTCCATGGGGTGACATGCCACTTTCGTGTTTTCTCGACGTTTTACGAAAAAAGTGGTCTCTCCTTTCGGTTTGTCCTGCCTGTCTGTGTCGAGTTTTATTAGACGGATGATCTTCGCAACTACCGGACCGATTGTTGTAGAATTTGGTGTATATATTGGGATTATCATACAAATGGTAATAAAATGCCAACCAATAGTAAATTTATTTTTATTTTTATAAAATAAGATACTCGTGCATTTATGGTGTACGAATCCGCGTAGAGTTCTCACTCTATACATCCAGATTTTTGTGAAAAAAATCAAAATTGATCAACCACATTTTACAATGTAACTTTGAAGTTGCAAAACCAAATGTTCTAAAATCTTGTAAACGTTTTAAGATTATGGTAATCATGGTAAATCGTTAATCAAAAGTTGTTCATTTATCCCCACCTAAAAATTGCTGACGTTATCCCGAATAAATCCGCTTTGTAATATGCAAAATATTATGACTCTATACTTGTGGTTTATCAATGCATCATAGTTTTTAGAATTTTTTTTACATATACCGGCTGACTCAAATCAATTAATAAATTAGGCAATTTATTGTATTGATTAAATTAAGAACGATTCACTCCAGTTCCCCAAAAATTTGGAAATGCAGTATTTTTGTTATTACTATCTATCCAAATTCATATACTCGTACGTGTCCTATAATGTATAAATTGTTGATGACACCATCACAAAATTTTGTAATGAAAAACCTCACTTGAGAGTGAGACCAATGCCTAACATGCTTTTTACCTTTACTTTAACACACATGTCTTTATTTTCACTTATAACAGTTTCATAAAAAATACAATTGCCAAAAACCAAATCTTTTAATTTTACTGAAAAACTGGATTTATTGTACTGTACTTTAGGAGCGACAGAAGTTCTGTGGAAATAACCTTCGATCAATTTATGTTCCATTTTTCAATTCTTCGATGTCAGTTTTGGGATTTTCAGTATTTCGGTTCCAATTTTTTGCTTTTTCAATTTTTCGATTTTTAAATTTTAGATTTATCAGTTTTACAATTTTCTATTTTTGGATATGTTAGTTCTTTGCACGGTGTTCCTTTGATATTTCTATATTAAATGTTTTGAATTTTTGAATTTTAGATTTTTTAGTTTTTTTGGTGTATCGATTTCTCGATCAGTCGATTTTTTAACTTTTCGGTTTTAGATATTTCGATTTTTCGATCAATCGATTTCTTTTAATTTTAAATTTTTTAATATTTAAATTTCCAATTTTTCGATGTTTCGATATTTCAGTTTCGAATTTCCCAGGTTTCGTCATTTTAATTTTGAATTTTTTTAATTTCCCGATTTCTCGGATTTTCGATTCTTTAGTTTCCCGATTTTTCAATTTTTTCAATTTTAGATTTTTCAATTTTGCGAATGTTTAAATTTTTAATTTTCCAATTTTTCGACTTTTTAAATTGTACGTTTTTCGATTTTACGATTCTTTGGTGTGTCGACTTTTCGATTTTTAGATTTACCTATCGATTTTTAAAGTTTTCGAATTTCAGTTTTTTCAATTTTGGATTTTTCAATTTTGCGAATGTTTAAATTTTTAATTTTCCAATTTTTCGACTTTTTAAATTTTACGTTTTTCGATTTTACGATTCTTTGGTGTGTCGACTTTTCGATTTTTAGATTTACCTATCGATTTTTTAAGTTTTCGAATTTCAATTTTTTCAATTTTTCGAATGTTTAAATTTTTAATTTTCCAATTTTTCGACTTTTTAAATTTTACGTTTTTCGATTTTACGATTCTTTGATGTGTCAACTTTTCGATTTTTAGATTTACCTATCGATTTTTTAAGTTTTCGATTTCTCAGTTTTTCAATACACACGTATTTCAATTCTGGAAACTTTTAAAATTTTTAATTTTTCTTTCCTCTTTTTGCCATTTTCATTTTTCGAAATTTTGGTGTTTCGATTGCTCGATCTTTCGATTTTTCGACTTTTCGGATTTCAATTATTCGGGGTTTCGATTTTTTAGTTTTTTAAATGCCCTACATTTTCGTCATTTCAGTTTTGAATTTTTTCAATTTCTAGATTTTTTTAATTTTGGACTTTCAATTTCCCGATCTGCCGATTTTTCGACTTTTCATTCACTTTTTTAGTGTTTCTATTTCTCGGTTTTCAATATTTTAATTTTTCAATTTTTTAAATTTCAGAATATTCAATTTCTCGATTTTTCTATTTTTGAGTTCTTCGATGTTTCTATTTTTCATTTTTTCGAATTTTAAAATGTTTTTATTTTTGAATTTTTTGACTTTAAATTTTACTTTTTTCGATTTTACGATTCTTTGATGTTTCGATTTCTTGACATCTCGGTTTTTCGGTTTTCAAAATTTTTCGACTTTTCGTTTTTCAAATTTCTGGCTTTTTCAATTTTTCTTTTTTTCAATTTTTCAACATTTTAATTTTGGGAACTCTGCAATTTCTGGATTTTTCAATTTTTCGTTATTTTAATTTTTCGATTTTTTGAAGTTTCGATTGCTCGATCTTTCATATTTTCGACTTTTCGGGATTTTGTTTTACGGTATGTATTACAATTTTTTTAATTTTTTATTTTTAGATTTTTCAATTGTTGGATTTTTAAGTTTTTGATTTCTCAATTTCTCGATTTTATTTTAGTTTTGAGATTTTTCAATATTTCGATTCTTAAATTTTTCGATTTTTAAACTTTTCGATTTTTCGAGTTATCGACTTTTAAATTTTTCAGTTTTTTAGTTTTTTGATGTTTCGATTTTTCGATCTTTCCAGTTTTCGATTTTTAAGTTTTTGATTTCTCGATTTATTGATTTATTGACACTCCGATGTTTCAGTTTCTCGATTTTTCGATTTTTGAGTTTATCGATTTTTTATGTTTCGATTGCTCTATTTTTCGACTTGTCGGATTTCGATTTTTCGGTTTTTAAGAATTTTTCGATTTATCAATTTCTTTTACATAATTTAAAATTTTTAGATTTTTAACTTTCCAATTATTCCATGTTTCGATTTGATTTTTCAATTTATCGATTTTTCCGATTTTCGATTCTTCAGTTTTCTTATTTTTCAATTTTTCTGTTTTTTAAATTTTAGATTTTTAATTTCTCGATTTCTCGATTTTTCAAGTTTTTGATGTTTCGATTTCTCGATTTTTAATTTTCCATATTTTAATTTTTCAATTTTTTAAAATTCATGTTTTTATATTTCTCAATTTTTAAGTTCTTCGATTTTTTCAATTTTTCGAATTTTTGTAGTTTACGTTTCTCGATTTTACGATTTTTGATATTTCGATTTTTCGGTTTTTAAAATTTTCGATTTTTTGTTGTTTCGACTGCCCAATTTTTTAGTTTTTTGTTGTTTCGATTTCCGGATCATTGGATTTTTTAACTTTTCGGTTTTAGATATTTCGATTTTTCGATAAATCGATTTCTTTTAATTTTAAATTTTTTAATATTTTAATTTTGAAATTTTTTAATTTCTCGATTTTTCGGATTTTCGATTCTTTATTTTTCCTATTTTTCAATTTTTCGACATTTTAAATTTAACGTTTTTCCATTTTAAGATTTTTTGATGTGTCATCTTTTCGATTTTTAGATTTACCTATCAATTTTTTAAGTTTTCGATTTCTCAGTTTTTCAATACATACATAGTTCAATTTTGGAAACTTTTCAAATTTTGAATTTTTCAGTTTTTTGCTATTTTCATTTTTCGAATTTTGGTGTTTCGATTGCTGGATCTTTCGAGTTTTCGACTTTTCGGATTTCAATTATTCGGTGTTTCGATTTTTTAATTTTTTAAATGACCTAGATTTTCATCATTTCGGATTTGAATTTTTTCAATCTTTCGATTTTTTAAATTTTGGATTTTCAATTTCTCACTTTTTTGGTGTTTCTATTCCTCGGTTTTCAATATTTTAATTTTTCAATTTTTTAAATTACAGAATATTCAATTTCTCGATTTTTCGATTTTTGAGTTCTTCGATATTTCTATTTTTCATTTTTTCGAATTTAAAAATTTTTTAATTTTTGAATTTTTTGACTTTAAATTTTACTTTTTTCGATTTTACGATTCTTTGATGTTTCGATTTCTTGACATCTCGGTTTTTCGGTTTTCAAAATTTTTCGACTTTTCGATTTTCAAATTTCTGGCTTTTTCAATTTTTCTTTTTTCAATTTTTCAACACTTTAATTTCGGGAACTTTCCAATTTCTGGATCTTTCAATTTTTCGACTTTTCGAGATTTTGTTTTACGGTAATTATTACAATTTTTTAAATTTTTTATTTTTAGATTTTTCAGTTGTTCGATTTTTAAGTTTTTGATTTCTCAATTTCTCGATTTATTAATGTTCCGATGTTGATATCGATTTCTTTTAGCTTTTAATTTTTCGATGTTTCAGTTTTGAAATTTTTCAGTTTTTCGATTCTTCGATTTTTCTTCCATATTTCAATTTTTCACTATTTTAGTTTTGGGATTTTCCAATATTTCGATTCTTCAATTTCTCGATTTTTCGAGTTTTGAGTTCATCGATTTTGGGATGTTCCAATTTCTAAGACACTACGGTTTTTTAAATTTTTAAAATTTTCGACTTTTTGAATTTCAATTTTTTGATTTTTTTTAATTTTTCGATGTTTTTGTGTTTCG